AAATGTTTTTTTTTATGTAAATTTATTTGGAACTTGTAAATGTTTTTTTTTTATGTAAATTTATTTGGAACTTGTAAATGTTTTTTTTTTATGTAAATTTGTTTTCTGAAATGATATTTTGTTTTGCAAAAGTTTTCTAGATTTTGTAATGTTGGTTTGCACCTCCCGGCCACCGTACTTCTGTCACATCAACATCTGTTTTATCCACAGATGTTATTGTTCAGAGTATGATTAGCTCTGATACTGATCCTGTTTTTTTTTTATATGATTTTTCTTTTCTCACGTTGTTGCCTTCGTTTGCCTCTTTAAGAACATTATTCCTGTCCCCCCCCCATCATGTCTTAGATTTCCCTGGTTCTGACGGCGGTTTTTGCCGTGGTGGTTTTCCGTCTCATTGCGATGGAGAAGTTCGCCTCCTTTAACTGGGACTTTGTCCAGAAGAACTGGCAGTTTGCCACGTCTGGCACTGGCGTCTGCATCAACTTTATGATTATCATGTCTCTCAATGTGGTGGGTGTCTGGACGAGCGGCGTCTGTTTTTGCATTCTGTCCAATAAAATGTCTCATGATAGCCGGTTGGAAGATTTTTCTGCCTTCTTGTCGTCCCTCATGAGTTGCCTCCATTTTTCCAGGTTTATGAAAAGGTGGCCTACCTGTTAACCAACCTAGGTCAGTTGTTTTTACTCTTTATTATAATATTTTTTCCCTATCTGTCTGCTTAGTGTTTCCCCTTTAAAACTTTTTCCCCTCCTGACCCTTGTTCCTCTTGTTTAGAGCACCCACGCACGGAGTCTGAGTGGGAGAACAGCTTTGCTCTGAAGATGTTTCTCTTCCAGTTTGTGAATTTGAACAGCTCCACGTTTTACATCGCTTTCTTTCTTGGAAGGTATCTGCTGTGAACTTTATACACTAGGGTGATGACTTTTTTTTACAACCTCATATCCCTGTAATTTGTATCGTAATTTGATTAACTTTTATTAAAGACTACATAAAATCGTACTTTTAAGGTTATTTGATAAAAAAAAAAAAAAAAGTTTCACGCACAAAATGATATAAACATTTTTAATTATCAGCTTTTTTGGCCAGTTTTTAAAGTCACTGGATAGTTAAAATTGAACACAAGCTTAAGAGTCACATGTATGACATTAAGTAGGGTTGGAAAAAACACAAGGAAGTCAATTGGCAATGCTAATTTAATGGGACAGGATGAATCTCAGTGGGAGGTTTTCTTTGTTTCAGCAAATCTTGCTTAACTTTAATCACATGTTCGCAGCACTGGTTGCTGAATTGGAGATTCATCTGTTTTCTGGTGGATTGTCAAACTTTTGAGACCTTTTGGGTAATTATTCAGAACTGCAGATAGTTAATAAAAATCGTCAGTGTGGAAAAATCGGCAAAAACTGTTGTTTTTTTCTCTCTTTTTTTCTTATTTTTTTCCTTTTTTTCCCTTTTTTTTAATTTTTTTTCTTCTCTTCTTCTTTTTTTTCCTTCTTCTTAAAAACTGTAGTTTTTGACAGCCATCTTAGATGTAGTCCCAGGACGAAAATATTTTTAGTCTTAGTCACATTTAGTCATTACGATATGTGATAGTTTTATTCGGTTTTAGTCTAATAAAACTTAAAAAGGTTTTAGTCTAGTTTTATTTTACAAAAAAAAGGTTAACTTTTACATTTTGGAATAAAATCCAGATTGTTTCCCAGCCTGCAGCTCTATCCTAGATGCTACAATATCTGGGTATAGAAAACTGCTGTGCAGATCATCATTGCTGTTGGGCAGAAAACTTTGATTTATAGAATTAAAATAAACCTTTTTATGAATAAATGCCTTACTTTATAAAAAAGTGTCTCACAAAAGTTCTTAATATAGCAGATCTAGTTCAACACATAATACTAAGTTCTAATGATGTTCTGCATTGGACCTTTGGATCTATTTCATTGTTTTTCTTTACAAATTCTGTTTTACTATTTTTTATTTTTAAACAGTAAGGTGATAGCTTCAGTGGTATTGCATTGGATCCCAGGTTACATTTGCTAAATGTTTTTTTCAAAAGAAAAAAAAAAGCTCTAATTCAGATTTTATAGAAGTAAAGATAATATAGAAATTAAGTCAAAAATATTTAAAATTCCTAAATTATGAATGTATATCAGGGCCGCTGGAAGTGATTTTAAACTGGGGGGGCTGTGAAACTTTTGTTGGAGAAAACGCCTATAAGCCTAGAGGCCTATTCAAAATACAAACAAAATAAATAGATAAATAGGTTGAGTTTCAATACTTTATTGTCATATACGCTTCAGTGTAACCAGGGTCTGTAACACACAGACATCATCAGTTCTAGGGCTGAAACTAACCATTATTAAGCTGTCGGTTCCTTGAAGAAGACTTTTTAATTAGATTAAACCAAGTGAAACTAAAACGATTCTGCTTGAGGAGTTCTGGACAGAGAATATTGACAGATGAAAAGCTTTTTTTATCTTAAATACATAATGTTTACAATTTTGGTACAATTGCTGCTCAAAGGTTGTTGATCTGTCACATAAACACACACTGCAAAAAACTAAATATTTTTTCTTAAAATAAGTGCATTTCTTCTTGAATTAAGGATGTGAGAGACTTTGTCAATAGAACAAGACAACTTACATTTGAAATAAGAAAAAAATATTGCATTGTCTTATTTCAAGTGCAAATTATCTAATTATCTTATTTTTAAAATAAAAATACTCATTCCATTGGCAGATCATTCTATCTACCTGCTCAAATTGAGGGTAAATAAGCAAAATTTAAGACATTTTTACTAATTTTTAGATCATTTTTGCAGTGCATATTTTACAGTCTCTAAACTTCAGTTAACAATTAATTAATTACTAGATTATTAAATCACAAAGAAGAATTTGGGAACTTGTGTTGAATAGGCCTCAAAATAATAAAAAGTCAATATAGTTTCCCGAAATATTCATAACAAATGTATAAATTGTGGAAAGTATTTTTACTTATTTTTTTCACCCCTAGCACCCCCACTTCCCGCGGCCATGATGTATATTACCCTAATAAGACATAGAATTTTAATTGAACCTAATTGAAAAGAAATTTCCCATCATGCAGCTCTCTTCATATATTTAAATCCTTGCCCTGTTTTTAATTTCATGCTTTTCTGTTCCCCAATCAAAACATGCTGGCCCCCTTCTGGCCCCCAGGAACATTTGGTCTAGAACCGCCACTGGTTGTTCTGCTGGGATGATTATTAACCTTAGGCCTCATTTTAAGTCTACCATGACGCCATCAGCATTATTTTCCTCTCCTCAATGTGTTCAGGTTTGCCGGCAGGCCTGGAAAGTACAACAAACTCTTCAATCGATGGAGGCTGGAGGAGGTGAGTGCTGCTGCGATTATTTTTCGAAATGACAGAGCTGATCATCACTCTCTGCGTTAGGAAATATTCAGGAGGTGAATCGTCTTTCTAATGATCCGCCCACTTGTTTCTGTGGGAAACCATTTATCCTGCCCCAGAAGAACTCAGATGTTCAACTCTAATGATCAGAAATAAGAACGGGAGGGAGTCTGTGTCTAAGGATTAGCTCATAACGTTGAATTACAATGTTTGAGAATATAGACGTCACAGTTTATCATGAACTGTTTTTTTTTAAGTGTCACCCCAGCGGCTGTTTGATTGATCTGTGCCTGCAAATGGGAGTCATCATGTTCTTCAAACAGATCTGGAACAACTTCATGGAGCTTGGATATCCGTATGTAAAACATCATTACAACTGCACACTTTGTTTGCATTCAAAATACACGAAAATGATTTAAACTAAAAGCCCAATTTATGCATTAAATCCATTATTTTTTGTCTTTTTAATCTTTGACATGTGGAGGAAAAGATAAACATCACATCTGTTTTTTTAAAGCCTCCATATTACTGTCAGAAATT